TAAGTTTCGAAACATTTTCCATATTGGTATCATTATCCATCATGAGTCCATCTACTTTGTCTGTTAACTGTTTCCTTATTTTAGCGACATCTTCAGTATGCTGTTCTTTCTGTGACTTCAATTCCTCTTGGATCTCTGATTTTATATCTTTCAAAATCTCTTCCTTTATACTGACTGTCAACTCCTCCTGTAATTCCTTCTTGAGATCTTCCTTAAAGTCAGCCACTACACTTCTAACAATTTCCCTTATATCATCCTTTGTAACTATCTTTTGTATTGACAGCTGAATTGATGCCAACGCACACTTTATTTCCTCAATTTCTGAAGAATCTTCTTCCCCTGCAGAGGAAATCCTTCTCTGTTTTGAAGCTGGTTTTGAAGATACAATTTGTGATTTTATCTCTGATGGCACTCTTGTAAGAAAAAGAATTGATTGCTTAAGCAATGGAACAGAAACTTTCTCATTTTTTTGCTCTTCTTTTGTGTCCTTGGCCTGTTGATCAGCCATTGTTACACTGTACAATGGTTCAATGAACACTGCCTCTAAACACACACACAAGGGGTTACCTGTTTTTTTTTACACTACAACTCCAGGTACATGGAATACATGTGAACACAGCTCAGTGCTTCCATTAACACTTAACACTTAATACAAAATAATAGATTTTCACAAAGTCCACTTTTCCAAATTTTCTTACATAAACAAATCCAGCCTTTTTTATGGATCTATACCACACACTATTAAGTATTTTGTCCACCAAAGAAACACTTTAACACTCTAAAAATCCACTTTTTAACAGAGGAGCAAAAAAACACCACCTCACTCTACAAGCATGACCTTGACCTTCCTTTGTTTGTGTATAATTTGTTTAGGTCAGAATAATGTCAGTTATTCAATTAAGTTGTCAGAAAAGTTTCACTTACTTAAATCTTTGCTGTTTTTATGCAAATCATGCCAGACCTGGTACTGAAAATTAATGCTCATCATTTATTCAATCTTAATATGGTAGGTTTAAGGATATGTATAGAACTATTTGTCATTATTTCTTAGGTACAATATTGTATTTAGAAAATTCCCTGTGATGTAAAATAGATGTATGGGAGTTGTTTCCCTTGGGTGGCGGAAAATCCGATGTAGTTGGATTTTGGTGGCCTATTGTTGGTTGCCACCTTTTTTTTCACCATAAGTGTTTGATAATATTGTATTTTTGATTACTATCATGCTGTACCTCTAAGTTTCTGGAGATCCAAATCCTGGTGTATATACAAATGTAGAAAAACATAGGATCTCCCAATTTTCATGTCTTACCTTTGTGTCATTAATAAATGACATATTTACAACTACATTCATTCTTAGTTTTGTATTCTGGCTGAAAAATAACAAAGCTGCGGGAAACAATGTGTTTAAAAAATTTTCATTCTGAGCATATGGGAGGCATAAATATAAATATGACCAATTATGGCTTTGCTGTTCTTGAGAGAAGAATATTTTTAAACATTTTTCCAATGTATTACTATGTAAAACTTTGATCACTCATTGTGGCCCCACCCTACCCCTGGGGATCACAGGGTTCTCCACATTTGAAAATTTAACCATCTTAACAATGCCTAAGCTTTTTTATCTTGATGGTCTATAAAAACTTACTGCTGGCATACATAATAAAAGTATCATAACTTAATATTACCAGGAGCATAAAATTGACAAAACTGTAATTTTGCTTTCTCTATTCTGTTTTTTCTTAACGTTTTTTTTTTTCTACATATTTGCATTTTTCGCCGAGTTTCCTCCATTGTTTACTTCTCCACGTGCCCCAGTGCTAAAAATAGCGCCACGCGACATTTTATAAACGTTTATTAACCTTTATAAAGGTAACTCTAAAACCAAGACGACGATTGGCACTTACAGCTGTACGTACACTTTATCAGAAATATAATAAAGTTAATATTTGAAAACAGAGCATGGGGAATTGGTTTAATACAAAGGAATAGGAAATTTTGAAAGGGTTAATTTTTTTCTGGGTACAAAAACTTGGATGGGATGCTTGTCGATTATCATGTTGTTACTGCTCGTTATGTCATATTTTGTAAATCTGTTATCGTGAACACGTTGAAATTCCCGAAATTACATGTGTATACAGGAAAATTAACTCTCAAGATATTGATCATCAGCTGATTGACTTTCCATTGTCACACTTCACAGCGTAGTCGGTTATCAACTACCGTGTTTGTTTAGCACAGTCCGCTTTCTCTCGAGGTACATGGCAGTCGTAAGCGTAGTATAAACACAATTAACTACTCAAGTCATTAAAAAGTAGGTGTCAATACTGAAATTCAATAAAATCTAATCATGGCGGCCGCCGATTTTGACCATGGCGCAGCTCGTTTAACCATGACGCACATAAATTTAACCATGGCGGGCCACCATGGTAAAACCCCTTGTGGATCATGATTTGAACAAATTTGAATCTACACTACCCGAGAATGCTTGCATATAAATATGACCAATCATGGCTTTGCTGTTTTTGAGAAAAAAAAGTTTTTAAAAAATCATTGTATACCTATTTAAAATTTTTATCACCCATTGTGGCCCCACCCTTCCGCCGGGGTCATGATTTGAACAAAGTTAAATCTACATTACCAGAGGATGCTTGCTTATAAATATGACCAATTATAGCTTTGCTGTTCTTGAGAAGAAGATTTTTAAAGATTTTTCCTGCTATGTATTCCCATATAAAACTTTGATCGCCAATAGTGGCCCCACCCTACCCCTGGGGGTATTGATTTGAACAAACATAAATCTACACTACCTCACAATGATTCCACATACGTTTTATATTTTCAAGCACAGTGGTTCATGAAAACAAGATTTTTGAACGATACCATTAATTTTTCACAAATTCATAATTATCTCCCCTTGGAAGAAACCGTGGCCAGGGATACTTTATGGTAAGATTGGTTGAAATTGGCCCAGTGGTTCTTGAGATGAAAATGTGAAAAGTTTACGACAACGACAAAGCCATTGACGGGGAGGACAACGACGACAGACAACGGACAAATTTAGATCCGAAAAACTCACTTGAGCCTTCGGCTCAGGTGAACTAAAAATTATTGCAACAGGCTGAGTAGCAACTATTTGTCCCTTTCATGTGTAAACGATTGAGATTTCGCTATTAAAATTCACAAATGTTTTTTATAATAAAATGCTCGTGTAAAAGCGCATTGAGTTGACCATAGGGTAGAATATACACAAGTGAGAAATTTCTATTGGAAAAGGAATAACGTTCTTTAAATACATTTTTTTTATGTTTCAGATTATATTCTCTTGATAGTTTAATTTCATAACAGCTTCAAACTGATAAACCTACAAGGATTAATCAATGATCTAAAACAACTCTCATAGCAAGACATGTAGTGACTACATTTCCATTCATTCTTTAATATTGGAGGTACACATCTTTTTCCGCAACTCCTCCTATACCACTGAATAAAATTTAATGAAACTTTTACAGAAAACCTATAACATAGTGCCATTGTGTACATCCTCCTATTCACATCCAAATTATTTCCGAATGACTCAACGTGCGTGATTATAAAATATAAACAAGATTTCATTTTCTTATATTTAAACATGTATAAAATTAATATGTAACTAACAATTCAAAAATATATTCAATACAAAACAATGTTCTTTCCGTATCATTTCATGATATTTTATACACTATGTTTGGAACAATACCTTTATGATATTAAAACTTTCCAATAACTGTATGTCTAATTATCATATTATTATCCTTCAGAATTATACAGTCAATCTGATTGGTTAAGAGCATGTCACGTGCGAGGTGACAATTCGTGATGTTTCCCTCACATGCAGGATGACAACTGTGTTGTATCCCTTTAGATGACAATGAAATTGCGCAGGCGAGCGTGCAGGATGACAACTGTGTTGTCTCCCTGTAGATGAACATAAAGTGTTGTAAGCGAGATAACTCATATTTATATATAATTGATATATATGTTGGATCGGTAAACAATAAATCTAACGGTTTCGTCAAAGTTGCCAGTTGGCATACTTTTAGTATGAAATAAGAGCAGTGGGTGGGAGAGCACAAGAGGTGTGACTGTTATTTGTTAATAATTTAGTTTCTTCAAGATAAGAAAACTATTATGGACTGTTTAGAAGGGAGACATCACAAATTATCAGATCTGAGTTGGGTAATAACCCTGGGCGCAATTACCCTCGGATAACAACCCTACTCAGACCTGATACTAGTAATTAGTGATATTTCACTTATAAACCGTCCATAAATATATATTGTTGCAAAAGTAATATCCAAAGCACAAATTTTAAGAATGCCGTTAACCAAGGTCGTATTCTGTGTTTCAATATTTGCTGAAGTAATAAACATCAAGCATGTTGCATTAACATCAGTCATATTTATCGATAAATAAATCATTAATTTTACACTTTTCACACAGGTTCAATAATGATTAATCTGGTAATTTTTAATTACTTTTCCCATAAACAGATATTCGACATAAAATCAAGCGGCTATTTCCGGAGGTCACACACTCCCTTCCACTGAAGTATTTACAGATATGTTTCTTCTCCTAATTATGACATTTTGCCATGTTTCAGGCTTAAACTGCCTGATTTCAAAATCCACGAGGTCTTGATTTATTAGATTTAGTTTCACCTGTCTCCATTTACATATGGTTCAAAATAGAAATTAAATTCATATTCCTCCTAATGATAATTCTTCCAAAAGACTTGGAAGTACATGTACTTGGAATTCCAAATGCTTTCAAATACCACCAAGTAATCATTAGTGATTTCAAAAGAGCTGACGGAGACTTTAATCTTCTATTCACGGGTTGATTCTCTATTGATTGAATATTTTAGACTTGGCAATGATTACTTTTTATACAACATATGTGTTCATGCATTAAGTGTATTCAATTTTGTCACTGGACAAAAGATTTTTCACAAGTAAAATTAACTATTCAATTTTAAATCTTTTATACATTGAATACGCACTTATTCCAGAAAAAAATCTGTAAAATATCATCAAAGGCACTAGAATGATATCCATGTAGTTAACATTGTTGTGGTCGTTATACCGAGTTAGAGAGATAATACTTCTGTTGTATGAGTTCTCCAACCAGTATGTCAAGTTTGTGATGACCAGAATTATTGAACAAGACGATATCACGTTTGAGCCACTTTGCAGCATTGTGTAGCGACAAGAATTGATCAAAAGCAAAGTCTGGAGAAAGGTTTCAAGCATTCCGGATATGGAACTAAGAATGATAAATTTCGAGATGGTAAATCCAGATACACCTGCTAAAAATTCAAATGTGAAATATGCCATAATTCCAGTGGAGCTTAGAATCAAGATGTATTCTCGTATAATCAACGGTTTCTTGGTAAAATTAGAATCAAGTTTGATTTTACGACTGCATACATACACTATAACAAATGTGCTTAATGAGATTAAACTCTGACCAATGTCGTACACGATAATCACACTTTTGTTTTTCCATTTATAAACAAAGTTTAAAAGAATTGTAGAAATAAAATGTGGTACATTAATGAAAATCCCAAATATTAAAGCCAGGATGTAAATACCATTCACTCCTTTAGAAACAGCATAAGTATGTCTGTCATGCATATCACCAGTCAAAAAACTATATGTGGTACGTCGTTCTGCAGTTTGGCATTCCTGTGCATTTTTCCACAGGGCTACAAGAAGGGTCGAAGCAAGAACACAGAATTCTAACTGAGGTGGTAAGAGCATGGAAGATACTTTTCTTCCTAATGTCTTTTGGATTTTTGAAGCGTGAAAGCAGGAGTTGTTATAAACACCGGTAGAATTTCCATTGGCAAACATATTGTGAATGGTTGAACTGTACCATATGGAGAAATTAGCCGCAATGATGCAGACAACTGAGAAATGGAGATGAAATGTTGAATGGAACTGTGTTCTTTTGTAACAAGTGAGAAAAACAATTTGCGAGACTATAAAGAGAAAGTAAATTAGATTTGAGAATAATAAAAATGAGTTAAATGCGATGTCGTCTGGTCTTGTTACCACACATTCTAGAAAAATGATTATTTTTAAGCTCAAATACGTCACAAAGGCCAGACTAAATAGCCACAAGAATCCAAGCTGTAAATTTATAGATGGATCATCGTCTGTATTTCCCAGTTGTGGTACGTGGCTTTCATGACATCTGGAAATCAATAAACTCACAATAGAGATCAGTCCAAAGGTGGCAGATACAGTAAGAACAGCCCACTTACCAAGAACAATAGTGTCATCTACAGTTTTTTCTCCGGATAATACTCCAAAAATAACAAAGAGTCCCGCCAACACATGTGACAAAAACAACTTTGATGCAACCTGTCCATCGCGGTCGGTTTTATGTTTGATTGTTGCTGGAAATATCGGTTGTAAGATAAGTCTATAGGCAGATTTGAAAAAATTCCTCATTTCTGATCCAACTTTTACAAAATTACATAATATATATAATTTAAAGTGCAGGAGGAAGGTACGTTTCTACAGTTATATTTCCTCATTTCAATCACTTTGTTCAAGTAGTAAATTCACTTTATGCTAAAAATATAGCTGAGTTGTAGACAGCCACAAAGAGTTTTTATCTTCTCCAAAACGTCGTTTTATATAGTCGTAATTTGGGGGAAAACATCTGATTGTTTGATTTTCTTTATTACTTTGTCTTCAGCTAGAATAAATATAAAATTAAAAGATTTAATTCTTGTAAGTATTATGATTAAACAGTTTGAATCCTAGTTTGAAATCCCTGTGGTTAATGGAGACAAATGCAATATAAATTACTTACGTAACCTGCTAACTGATGCATCTGGTCTGAATTTTATTACTGCAGGGATTTTATCAAAAAGATATTTTGAAAGTATATTTTCAAAAGATAATATCCATTTGCTGAGCGATAAAAAAGCTATTCCAAAAGGCCATCCTCAGAATATATATATATCGCCTGGTGTGATTTGCCCATGTCTGAAACGAAGTGTGTACAGTCTATCTGTTTTAAAGATAGCAACACAACTGAAAACATTGTGATTTTTTCACGTGTTTTTTATATTTATTATGGTCTTCACGACCTATTATGTGCCTTTCCTTGATATAATCATTAATTTCTAATGAGGCACAACCTATTACATAATATTTTCAAGTTTTATTTTATAAGGATATTTTTTACAGACTTACAAATCGGAAATATAAATCGGTAAAGGAAACCAAAAAAAAAAAAGAGAATTTTTTTTTGGTTAGATGTCATACTTGGAGTAGACATTAAAAGATATTAAATGCTTTGAAAATATTATAATAACAATTCAGATACGTTGCTAATTGTATAAAAAAAATTTCTCGGATTTATAATTTTCTTTGTGAAACGATCTTAAAAAAATATTTTTAATAGTTTAAAGCTGGCCTTACTCCTGGCTCATTACTTAACAAACCTGAATTTGCACTACCTGCGTGCATGCTTATGAAATTGAAAAATCATAACCCTGGTATTCTTGAAAAGATTTTTGAAGAATGTTTTCAATGACTTTCCGTGTAAAATTTTGAGCCCCTATGGTGGCTTCACCCTCCCCTCTTGGGCAATTTGAAGAAAAGAATATGATACATATTTAATCTCTCAAAGAAAATTTTGGTCTTTGATTTATAGGTTTTTTTAGCTTCTTATTTCATGCATCTGGTGCATCAAAATTGGTACCGTATATAATTTACATTATGACCCCTGGGTCGGAACCACTACTGGTGGATTGTTAGTCCCCGAGGGTCTCTACAGCCTAGTAGCTACGTGCTTTGGAACTCGCTTGAAAATACGGAAGTATATTTAATTGCTGTGGTAAAATTTAGAAATCTATTTCAAAATAAAGGATTATCTACCTCTTGCATAGCTTTGATCCTTCCACATATATGGCTCTAGTTTTTGGCTCCTTTTTTCAGCTCTTCAAAGTCTTTTTTATTTAAATATTTTGGATTTCCAACGTTTCAGCATTAGTATCACTGAAGAGACACAATTTGTCGAAATGCGCATCTGGTGCATTAAAATTGGTACCGTATATGATTTACGTTCATGTTTAATAAATCTTTTTTTTTTTCAGAACATAAAATCGTATAACTTGAAGTTGATATCATTTATTGTAGTTCCCCCTGACAATGTAGTTCTTGGATACCAGGTCTTCCAACAATCTGTTGGAATTTTCCATGGGCATTAATTGTGCTCCTCTATTATTTAAAAGTGATATCTTTTTTAAAGATTAACTAAAATTTGAATTTAAAGATCATGTACAATATTACTTTAATAGGAAAAAAATCAACTAATAAAATAAAGACCTTTATACAAGGACAATGATTTGGCAGAAAGCAATTTGACATGTGAGAAAAGAAAAGTTTTTTTACAGTTTAAAAAAAAAATGGCTGCGCTGCTGCTGGGGAAAAGAAGATATTTTAAAGAATTTTTTTTATTTTTGCTGTTTCCAATGATCGCTGTTTTGAAAATTTTAAAACGCCGAATGCACAAGTAGACTTGGTGAATATCGTATTAAGTTTGTCCCAGCAATGTGCAAAAAAAGTTGCGGCCAAATTTTTAGGTGATGCAATAATTTGTCTCTCCGACTTCTTTCGAGCTGACACGATTCATATCCTTTTGAAAAAAAATGTTCAAGACCTCCAGGGAATGCCAGTCAAAAATGAATCACTTTAAATCCTTTTGTTTGGTTACCAAACGTTCCTATTCTGCAAATGCATGCATTTCTTCCTGTAATTGTTAACTTATCTCTTTGACTGTTCAGAAGAATGTTCAAAATCACATCAAGAAGATATGTTAGGCAATTAACAAAAATCAATTTTGAAAAATCGAATGAAATGGCCTTGATTAAAATCATTTGATCTTGGCATTATTATCTCCACTATAATTCTGTTAAAATGTACCTTATTTAACGTTTTCGAGATAAAATGACTATCTTTCATGAACTGAAAATTTTCACGTATAGCAAAGCTAAAAAGTGCTTTCCATCCTTCAAAAATTCCATTTAAATTCTGGGGTCAGTTTTGTTTTCCTATACTATAATTGTTTGACAGTTTTTCCAAAAGTTATATCTCGAGGTAAAAAATTAGCTATTCACTCCTTAGATATCTTCAATATAATATATCAGAACAAAAAGCACGCTTATCTACTGGCTGTGAGTGATATAGCCCTTTCATTTAAGCCGTATCAATCAAGGGTTTGACGAAAGATTTATCAAATTCACAGTTTATTGAAAATGCAAAAAATTTTAAAACTGCCTCAAAAATATTTAATGAATCAGAGAAATATTTTTAAAAAATATAAGAGCAGGCTTCGCTGTTACTAACCTGCACTCCAATCAATTCTCAACACAAACCCATGAAGTGATCTAAAGTGAAGAAAATTCCTCAATCCATCCTCACGAAATATTCTGAAGGTTTGACTCCTTTGCGTTTTAAACAACGTACTCAAAGCTGCTGAGGCGAGTCATAAAAGTGTGCGTTTTTGTGGGTTTTTTTCCCTTGTGTTTATGCAAATGAACTTATTCGTCTGCTGTGGAAAACATGACAGAATACACTCTGCAGCCTCATAGTAAAAATTTTAAACAAATCAATAAGAATGTTGAATTTTGTGATAACAATTGCTGTGGTACCAATAAAACAGGGAAGAATAGAAACTAATTCGTTGACCGAAGAGGACATTTCCTTGATAGAGGAGATATTTTAGAGCATATTTTCGAAAAAATGAAGGGTGCCGATGCCAGGAAAAAGCACGGTTTGTAATAGAATGAAACCTGGAGGAGTCTACCTTAAGTAAGTACATACAATCTACTACACTGATGCCAGAAAACAAGGTTCAAACAATCCCTTTGTGTGGATGTATTTTTAATGTAAAGCATTCAAATTATCAGTAAGGTTAATACAAGGAAAAAATTATTCTTTTTTTCTAATTCCCTTATTGGCTTTGGCTAGTGTGTATTGGCCCTTATGAACTTATTACTGTTGCATGACCGTAGAAACGGGGGTGGGGGGGGGGGGGGTGGGAGGGGTGGTCATGGGGAGTTTATAGTAACTATAGAAAACATAGCTACTTTATGCTTCTGCTCTCTCAATAATGTCTGATGCCTTTTTGTCTTGTCAAGGAATTTTTGCTTGCTAGTGCCCCAAAAACTGAAAAAGTTTGGTTGTGCCCACAAAACCCCCATTCCAACTGAAATTGCTTCGTATGAGCCCATGTTAGAGGGACTCAGTTGAACAAGATGTTTATGCTTTTTGAATTATGTAATTGTATTTACATTTGTAATTGATTAAGAAATAGCTCAGGGAAGTTTTTGAATGTTTTTGTTAATGTTTGAAATAATTTTTTAAAGTTTGAAACTTAACTTGTGTTACAAGAAGTCCCGTAGGAAACAATTTCAGTTTTGGGGACAGAAGGGGGGACCAAACAAAAAATCTTGAGAAACAAAAAAATCATCAAATGTCATTTTTGAGGGGACAAAACCGTAAATTAGCTTTGCTTTTATTGCATTGAATATACAGACAACATTACTTTGGGGAGGGAGAAGGGGGGATTATAAATTAGCTAAGTTTGTTTTTTTTGTTTAACTTGTAATTTTAGTAGAAAAATATACTTTATTCAACTCTGAGAAAAAATTATATATTGGCAAAATTATTGAGAGAGGTACACCTGTTAAACTTCAAATTAAATTGTGAAGTATTTATTGTCAAAATCATTTAGCACATGCCCAACACTTTACCTAGTCCCAGTTCCTTTTGAGGTGTAACTTAAAGTAGAAAAAAATAGACTTTATTCAAGAATTTGAAAAAAAAAATGTACAATGAATTGAAATAATTAGTGGGGATTTTTTTAATGAATACTGGTGCCTAGTTGAATATTTATCTCATGTTCAGAGCAATACAAGAATAAACTCATATAAAGAGACATTTTTCCCAAATAAGTTTCTAATGTTGTGGAAAAAAAAAGCAGAAAAGTGAAAGAGAATTTATGTATATTAATCCATAAGTAGTTTTTTTAATCAACATCGACATTATAATGAAAGGATACACCCTGCATGACCTTTAATTAACATTTTATTACTAGGTAATTAAAAGTTAATGCAGACGAGTAATTTTCTCCTACTATTTCTAAAAAAAAAAACA